ACAGTGTCTGTCTCTGCCTGACTAGTCTGCAAGCTTCATGAATGCAGAGACCCGCCTGCCGTGCCCACAGCTCTATTCCTAGTGCGTCTGGCATGGGGTGGGCACTCACTAAAGAGGTGCTGAAACCATGAGTGCTGTGGACCAGCAGATCAGTCCTCCAGGAAATCAGGGCCTGCTGTCCCAAGTGTGACTCCAGGTCCACGCTGCTGTGCTGCTTCTGAGCTGCAGTGAGAGCTGGGGTTTGCTCTTAGTCACAGGGAAGGTCTCAGGTTCAGGGGGTGGAAGGGAATTATGATGGAAAAAGTCCAGTGGGAGGGCTCCCCCTATTGAGGCCCACCCATAACATTTGTAATTATAAATTGAGCTAACGTATTATTACATAAAATATGTTCCATCCTCCTAGCTTGACAATATACCTTCAATGACCTGGAAGGCCAGGTTTGGATTCAGACAACTTGGACTCTTTGGGGTTTCACACCAGAACTCCCAGCATAGGAAGAACTGGCTCCCTTGCCCAGGCCCTTAAATCAGACCCTTTCTCTTCTCACCTGCAGCTCCAGCCCACACTGTCAAGAGCCTTGTACCCACAGTTGTGCACATCTGGGCTTCCTCCATGCCTTGTCACAAACTGCCCCTCAGCTGCCCACAGACCCACCCAGGGTACACATAGGCATTTTAATCCATCTTTGGTGGGATGGACCCAGGAAGGAGGCTCCAGAATTCCCATTTGTCTTTTTGAAGTGTGATCTAAAAGGGGGAGAGGGAGCTTCAGGTGAACGCACCTACGGAGGAGAGCCAGAGCTGCCCTTCTACAGCACAGGCTGGGCCAGCAGCCGTCTTGCCCTGGTGTAGGTGTGATACCATCTGTGCTGGCATGGCGTCCTGGGGTGATTGGGTAGGGAATGGACCGACAGGCATCCTGCTTGGCTTGTCTTTTCTAGACACAGCCTCTAGAGGAATAAACGCTCCATTAGCAGCTGCGTGGCGCTGGCTGAGGAGCTGGCTGGTGACTCTGGCCTCTGGTGTAGGTTTTCCTCAGGTGGGTGCATGGATGAGAGCTCTGCCTTCTCCTGCCTGCCCAAGCCTCAGGACACCAGGTAAGCCAAGAGCCTCAGGCCTTCCCCTGCGCTTCTTGTCCTTCTCCTGGGAGTGGCCGGGGCTGCCGTCAGTCCTTCTGCCATCTGCCTCTCTCACGTCCTCAGGCGGAGGCACCCCATGTGTGGGATCTATGTTCAGTGCTCAGGAGGAAACCAGTGCTCTGGGTGTGTGGAGAGATTATTAGGGATTTTTCTGGGACTGTGGGGCTGTCAGATTGTTAGCAATGAGGGGTAGGAGGGATCCCAGGTATTTCAGAGAGGGGAAGAGAGACGGCCAGGCCACCAGCTGGTTGTGTCTGCTTTGTTGTGGGGTGGGAGCCGGGGTAGTGGTTCCCCGGCCTGGGAGCAGGACTGCAGTGAGTATGCTGGAGCTCCGAGCACCTGCAGTTAAGCCAGCTGAAGGTGGGCCTACGGTGAGTGGGTCCACCAGCAGACAGAGCTCTGACCTCTTCATTTTCTCTCTGGTTAGACTGACTTTAAAGACTTTATCTGACTTTGGAAGACTCCTGAGGAGTCTTAGCAGGCCCAGCCAGTGGGTACAGGCTTGAAGACCAACAGGATGGGCTGGCAGAGAGGACAGCATCAGCATCTCAGTCCAGGCATCCCCGCCAGGACCACCCCAACCACCATCAGGAGGATGGAACCAGTCCCTAGCCCTTGTGAGCGGCTCTCCCTTTTCTGCACCATCGCAAGGGAAATCTGAAGACAAGCTACCAGCATGTGACGTCCTGGTGTTAGGGAACACAGCTAAACAAAAGTGTGATGCCGCTGTGGGAAGGCCAGACCCAGGACACCACCATGCCATGCTGTCTTCAGTTTCTGCCAGCTGAAGTTTTATTCCCAGGCAGGGCCTTCTCCTTTTACCATTTCCCCTGGGGACCTGACTGGCTGTCGCTGGGGGCCGAGGTCTTACAGGCCAGGAGGTGCCTTTGAGCTCATGCTAGGGGCTGTGTCCCTGTGAACTCACTGGAATCCTTTGTTGACACATTGCTTTCTTACCAGTCTATGAGCTCTTTGAGGGTGGGGCTTTTGAGGGTGACGCTACTATTTAGTAATTCCTGTATCCCAGTTAGTGCTGACACATAGTAGGTGCATTGTAAGTGCTTACCGAATGAACAGATGGGTGCATTTCCTGTTCTGCAGATTCCTGTTCAAGCTTTGTTTTGTACTTTCTTTTGTTAAACCAGCGAACGCTTCTGATAAGATGTCCTGTAACTCCTCCCTACCCCATCAAAGAGGACGGACCTTGGCCTCAAGAAGCAAGTGAGCAACTGGGGAGCAGAAAACAACAGAACTATTTTCGGAGGCCCTGAGGCCTGCGTCCTCAAGGCTACCCGTCTTTGTCTTTTTTGAGGCTTGTGTAACATTTTCCTTGGTTCTCTGAGTCACTCACAGCTTTCTAATACATTTCTTCTTTTCCTTTAGTTAAAACCAGAGTTAGTTTCTGTTGCTTGCCTCCAAAGACCCTTGACTGATATAAATGTTTTCCTCCTATTTTTAAATCTTCTAAAGAACATAAAATTTTTAGTGACTGTATGTATTATATTCACATGTTTGGCTGATTTGCTGGGGTTTTTTTTCCCGGTAATGTGATTATCACTTCCCATCAGTCTCTTTTCAATTCTGATACCTTCCTCAAGCAACAAACTATAAAACAAGGCACAGGAAGAGAAGCTAGAATATGTTGTCTTTAGAGATATCATGGCTTTTTTTTCCCCCGATACCCTAGCAGAATCCTTTCATTGGCCTCTTTTGACTATCCATTTATTCATTCATTCATTCTTTTTATTTCTTAATTTAAATTAAGATGGGGTCTTGCTATGCTGCCCAGGCTGGTCTTGAACTTCTGGCCTTGAGTGATCCTCCCACCTTAGCCTCCTTAGTAGTTGGGACTACGGATGTACACCACAATGCCTGGCCTTTCTTTCTTTAATTTATAATTTATTACTCTAAGTCTCTAGTTTACAATATTGCTTTGAGATGGTTTCTGCTTAAACAGATTCATTGAAACAGTTTGCTTCATATTTGGATTTTTCCACTCGTCAGAACGTTCTTCCATGGTAGCGTGGTGCAGTAGAAGGGACTGGGCTGATTTAGATAATCTAAAGGTAATTCTGACTGTGCCACTAATTTATGTAATTTCAGAGGAGCAATATTCTCTTTGAGTTTCGGTATCCACATGAGAAATAAAAAAAACTTGAAGTGAGTAACCACAGATTTCCTTCCAGCTTTAAGGTCCTATTATTCATATGAGTCGACATCTGCCTTTTAGTGATATGCTCCATTGGCCCCAGTTACACAGACTGGGCTTATGTGATAGCCCTTCAAATATTGGACAACCTATGCTCCTCCGAGCATCTCGTTCTAGCCTCAATATAACCAGCTTCTGTAATCATTTCTCATATGATAAGATTTTTAGACTTTTCACCATTCTGGTCATTCTCTTTGGGACACTCCAGTTTTCCAGTGTCCACCCGGAAGTGTGGCTTCGAGACGGACCCGGGCTGGTTTCACTGTGGGAGTCTCCCCACTACTTACCAGTGTACTCAGCCTGCCCCTCTGGGCAGATAATGTTGACTAAGGCACAGCCTGAGGGGACGCAGCCACTCCAGCTTTCCTAGATCTAGGGATAGCTATTTTTTTGTCTTTTTAGAGGCCCTTCCTTCAGGCTGTATGCAGAACAGATGCAGGCAGCCAGGCAGCCAAATCTGGAAGGAGATGCTGCTTCCTCTGAAGATCAGTAAGTAACCAATAGTGATTAACTGAACAGGTGCTAGTTCTTAATACACATGGAAGAAAGATTTGCCAGAGGTGGCATTAATGTTTGCAGCAGTTTTTTTCTTTTTTTAAATTGCGATGGGGTCTTGCTCTGTTGCCCAGGCTGAAGTGCAGCGGTGCAATCTTGGTTCATGCAGTAGTTTTTAAAAAAATGAGGCACTGAATGTTCATGTCTCCGTTGATGAGAAAAATGTCCTAACTCTTTTCTTTTGCTACGCCCCTTCCCCTGCCCATTCTCTCTGACATCATGTCTCATGAGCCCTTTGCCCTAGCAGCTCTTGTATTCGTCCTTTGTACAAGAGAACAGATGCAAAAACTGTTGCTCAAATGAAAACAAGGGAGAGCAAAGGAAGATCGGGGAAGGGCTCTGGCCTTACTGCGAGCGTCCTGAAGGGTGTTCTGGGAGGAGTCTGATATTTAGACTCTCAAGGGGTTCTTTCTGTCATCCTAACTGCAACAAAGGGGTGTTCCGAAGCCCACGAAGACCCATAGGATGCGGCCCCAGGCCGTCTCTCCGGACCCTTCCCCACTCCTTCCCTTGTTTGGATCCAGTCCCTCTGGCCTCCACTGTCTTCTCTGCAAACACCAACCATGCTGTCACTTTAGGGCCTTTGCGTTTTCTGGTCCCTGTCTGGAACACTCTGCCACTGCCTCCTCACCTCCTCCACTTCACTGGGCCTCAGTTCAAATGTCACCCCATTGAAGGTGTTATTATCCGATTGCTTTATCCAAGACAGACCCTGTCTCCCCAACACATTGTTCTCTAACCCTTTACTCTGCCTTATCTTTCCTTCTTTTTTTTTTGAGATGGAGTCTCACTCTGTAGCCCAGGCTGGAGTATAGTGGCGTGATCTCGGCTCACTGCAGCCTCCGCCTCCCGGGTCCTGGTTCAAGCAATTCTCCTGCCTCAGCTTCCTAAGTAGCTGGGATTATGGGCACAAGCCACCACACTCAGCTAATTTTTTGTATTTTTAGTAGAGATGGGGTTTTACCATGTTGGCCAGTCTGGTCTTGAACTCCCGACCTTGTGATCCACCTGCCTCGGCCTCCCAAAGTGCTAGGATTACAGGCATGAGCCACCGCGCCCGGCCTGCCTTATCTTTCTTAAAAGAAACTAACAGCATCTGACGTATGCTGACTTGTTTATTTATATTATCCAGAACATAAACTCTCAAAGGCAAGGGTTTTGCTTCACTACTGATTCCCAAGTGCCAAGAAATGTACCCAGCACATGCTGAGCCCTCAATCAATATTTGTTGTGGTATGACTTTTATAGCATCAGTCTCAATGCTTATTAGCACAGACTTGGTCTCATGGAAGCACTTTGTGTTTTTCTGGTGGAGGGTTAATTAGTCCACTAGTTGACAAGTGAGTCACTGAGGGTGAGAACTTTATTTGAGCAGTGTGGATCTGTTCAAAGAGGTCCTGGGGCACCAGACTACAGACCACTGTTGAAATGAAGTTGCTAAGAGTCACCTTGCGGCAGGAGAGCTGCGGGTCCCATCTCATCCACAGCTGCTTTGATCTGAGGTGGGGCCCCGGAGATGAAGAGAAGAAAGGTGGGGAGTGCTGTGTATTTTTTCCCCACAAAACCCCTGGGGTTCATTGTCAGCTCCTGGGCTTTCCTTTCCACATCCTTTTCAGGGACTGAGGCCAGTTTTGCACTATTCAGTGACCAGGCATGTGGTGTGACTGCAGGTGGCAGGTGGGGACAGCACAAGCTGCTAGGTTGAGTGGCCATGTGCCTTGTTCAGGCAATCTTGGGGGAAGGTAATAAGAGAGAGGTGGGTGCAGGAAAGAGAAAGGATTTGGTAAAGCCAGGTTACCCGCAGGGAACCGCTGAGCAGGCCAGGCAGGGAGGATCTGGGAACAGTCGGGTTGAGGATGCGGGTCTGGAGGGTAGCTGTGCTGAGCCTTTGTCCGTGGTGAAGTGATTGCCCAGGAACTGGGGAGAAGAGGGAAGGTCCTTGGGCGGGACTGACATCCTAGATGGGGAGATTGAAGGCACCCTGGGAAAACAGTACTTTCAAACCCACCCTTTTTCTTCAATGCCTCCTTTCTCTCTATTATCAAGACTTGAGTGAGGCTCCAGGAAAAACACAGTTACACGTGGGTGAGAGAAACTGTGAACCTTGGCCGGGTGTGGTGGCTCACACCTGTAATCCAAGCACTTTGGAGGCCAAGGCGGGTGGATCACATGAGGTCGGGAGTTCAAGACCAGCCCGACCAACATGGTGAAACCCCGTCTTTATTTAAAAAAAAAGAAAAAAAGAAACTGTGAACTTTATCAGCTAATAATCTCCGAGGATAAGTTTAGCTCATTAAATGTTTTTCCCGTAGCAATCAATACTCCAGAGCTTTTCTAGGTAGAATCACTCAGGGGCAGAATGTATTTTCCAAAGGTGGCCACAATAAAGAGTTCGTTGGAGTCAGAGTGACCTCTACAGTCCTCCTGTTGGGCGGTGGGGTTCTTTGTTTCCTCCCCTTGAAACATTTGCATTTGAAAATAAATGTGGCAGATTCTAGAGTACCTCAGTATCCTTTCTCTCCCTAACGTTCCTTCTGCATAGCGTTTTATGGCTCTTCACACCCTCAGTTTCAGGCAGGAAGACTCATCCTGAGCTGAGCTGCTTTTCTTGAAGTTGTGCAAGAACGTCCTGTTGGCTGGGACAAATTCAATATTTCTTTTCCTGGTCACTGCTGGAGAGTGAGGAAAGACTCTTCACCCCCACTCCCAGATCCTGCAGGAGGCGTGAGAGCGGACGCAGATGGTGAGGGTGTCTATGAATATAGCGTTTCCTGCAAAATAGTGGCCATCTTGACTATGGGTTGTCAACCATCCTCAGTGTCTACAACTGCAATTTACCTTTGAGGGGCCATGAACTCTGGTTACCTGAAAGTCCTTAGGCCAGAAAGAGAAACCCCTGACCCCCACCTCTCACTTTCACCTGTTTCTAGACCTTTTTTTTTTTTTTTTTTTTTTAATAGCAATGCCTTGGCCATCAGGGAGCATCGAGATCTCAAATGGCAGGGTCTGGGGCTGAAGCTGAAGCTGGCATGGGTGATTCAGAGTTCTTCTGTTAGTTCAAATATCTAATATCTTTTAGTGCCTGGGACCCAGGTTGGAGGCAATTCTTTGGTGCCAGTTGGGCGATACTTTATGAACAGTGGTGGGGGAGGAATGCCTTGGACAATCATTGTCCCTGTGGATCTGGATCCTGGAGAACTTCCGGTGTCCTGGAGGGAATGTTCTGTTTGGTCCATGTTGCCCAGAGAGGAGCCAGGACATGTGAAGATGGGAGAGAAAAGGGGGAGGTGTGAAACGTGCTGGTGCTTTCTGTCCGCGTAGTGTGATGGCTGCCCAGGCTGCCCCATCGAGGCAGGACAGGGTTCCCATGGGAGGTATGAGGACCGTGGTGATTTCCAGGCACCAGTTATGTCCCAGGGCATCATGTGCCTGTGCAGTGGGGTGACTGATGGTCCAGGCATCAGTTCGTACTGTCCTTTATGGTAGATCCTGCACAGTGGGGTTCTCTGTCTCTGGACCCACCCTGTCAGCATGGACATCCTTCTTCTTTTTCCCTGGTAAATACATCAGAAAGAGAGTTACCCCTCCAATGCTTGTAGCCTTGGCATCCTTGGCCTGCCTGCAGGGCTCTGAATCCTGAGTGTGTTAGCCCAAGGTCACCTTAAGCAAAGGGACACTTCTCCTGGTTTTCCAATACCCTGGAAAAGGAGGCTCTTCAAGAGTAGGAAATTCTTCCTAATGTTTAACCTTGACCTATGACTATGCCATACGTTTGGTTGTAGAAGGCATGGAAAGTTAGGGCTGTGGTGGACCCAGATAAATCACTGGACAGAAGCCATGTGGCAGAGCCAGAACCATCTTCTGGACTCCCTGTGTGGAGCCTTCTACTATCCCAGGTGGTTGGGTTCCTTCTCAGTGGCCAAAGATGCTGTTTTCTGAGCCTTGAGGACAGTACACTAAGTGAAAAAAGCCAGGCCAAAGGGCCACATAGTGTATAGTTCTATTTATATGAAATGTCTAGAAAAGACAAAAGCACAGAGCCAGAAAGTAGACTAGTGGCTGCCTAGGGCTGTGAGAGGAACGGGGGAATTGGGAGGGGATGGCTAAGGGGTTATGGGGGTTTTTTGGGGAAGGAATGGAAATGTTTTAAAATTAGTTGTGGGGATGGATGCACAACTCTGTGAATATACCAAAAGGCATTGAATTGTGTACTTTAAATAGGTGGATTGTATGCTATATAAATTATATCTCAGTAAAGCTATTTTTTCTCCTGCTCTTTTCCTGGCTTCTACTTTCTTATCACAAATCCTGGGGACTTTTGGGGCAGGGGCCAGGGCCAGACCTCCCCCAGCAGATGGGGCCTTCAGGTGGCGTGCAGCCTCAGCTGACCCCTCTTGGCCTCATCCTCACTGGAGAGAATGAACAGGAATCTGCACTGCCTGCTCCCAAGCTCTGGGTCCAAGTTGGACCCAGATGGTGCCTTCTAGGACACACCCGCCATAATGGGGCCTCAGTGCCTCCTCCTTGTTGACCCCCTCTCTGCACCCTGGGACAAGCCAGCTCCGACAGCCTGGGATGGAAATGGCTATGGAGCCCTGGTCAGTCGGGTGGTTCTTTCAAGGGCAGGGCATCCTGGGGCAGAGGCAGGGACTGAGCTGGATGTAGAGCTTACAACCTGGTCTGATCTTGGAGTTTTCCCTTCCTTCCTCTTCTCAAGAAGACAGCCCTATCAGCCACTGCCCAGGGAGTAGCTTCTCTTAGGGAACGATTTTGTAGAAATCTCCCGCAAGAAGGGGTTGGCAGTCATCTAGAATCGCACTCAACAATGTTTGTCAATACCAGCTACGTTTCAGGAACTGCTGTGTTTCAGGAACAACTACTCACATGCCCAGCGGTGACCCAGCATCCTCCTTTTAAGAGCTCAGAATTCAGTGGGGAAGTAAGTGTAAATAGTTCTCTGATTGGGGTAAGTAATAAAGATTAAAGGAAGGACATTAATCAGCCTGAGTGTGGGGGAGATCAGGGAAGGCTTTCTGGAGGAAGCACACCTTGAACACTGAGTAGGAGAAAGCCACAGGAAGGAGGGAAGCTGGGTGGGAATCATGGCAAGTGTGTTTCAGGCAGAGGGAATATAATGTACAAAGGTCTGCAGATGGATGTGAGAGAACAGTTCATTCAGAGAACCACGAAAGAAACTTCAAGTAGTTGGGTCTGGTTGGAAACCAAGATATGATGAGCTAGAGAAGGCCAAGAGATGAGGTGGGAGAAATAAGATGGGGCTGACCGTCTGAAGCCTAAACAGGAGGAGGTCCAAGACCCCCCGCTCCCCACGAACTCCACCTCCTCCACCTACCTCCTGTGCCTGCAGGACTCCTACCTGAGCAGGGGCCCCAGTGCCAGGCAGAGAAGAGAGCAACCAGGATCAGGAGCAGCGAGACGGGCACCACCACCAGCAGCACATCTTTGTAGGAAGCCTTCCCTGGTGCTGAACATGGAGGGGTGGGGTCAGAGGTGGACCTGATGCTTCATAAGCCTTGAACCATTGACTGCTGGCCCTCAGCATACCTGCGTCATGATGGCAGCTCTCCCAGGGCGTGACTGTGGCCAAGTCCCAGCTGACAGGGTTGGAGACAATGCAGGAATAGGCCACACCTCTGTCTCCCGGTCCCAGGGAAATGCTCAGCACCTGTCCATCTGTGAAGAGGCTGTGTGGCTCCATGCCAAAGTCCACAGTGGTCTCCCGTCGCCAGCTATAGGTTATTTCACTGATGTTGGGAGCCCAGCAGGACAAGAAAGCCTGGCAGGTCTTGGGGGGCTGAGCATCCCCTCCTACAGCAATGAACACTTGTACCACGGGCCTGGGCACTGCATCTGGGAAAGAGAAGTATAGCAGGTGTGGGTCCCACAGATGCTGGGCAGGGGGCACATTTCTGGCTCTGGGACCCACCCAGGGTTAGACGCCACCTCTGACTAAGCCTGTCTTGTTCCAGAATCTTGTCTGGCTTTCCACTGCCCACGGGACAGAAGCTGAATTCCTTAGCTTGATATTCAAAACCCTTCAGGAAATGATTCATGACTGTCTCTCCAGCTGTACCTCCTGCTGCTTCTCCCTGCTCATCCTAATTAATTTGCAGTTTTCCCAAACATGTCATGCTCTTGAATATCTTTCACGCTTTCACACGGTTCATCTGCGCACACAGATGCCTTCCCTTTCTTGGCCTCCTAGGAAACTCCTACCCATCCTTCATGGCCCAGCTGGAACACATTGTTTAATGCCTTGACTGTGAAGCCTTCCCTGATATCCCAGGCATGGCTCTGAGCTCTCCCAACACTCTATCTCTTTTTGTAGTATTTTTGCCACAATGTGTCAGTCAGTCAGCAAGAGATGACAAGCCTTTATTAACTCAGGCAAGAAAACAAATACATCCCTAGCCTTCTGGAGCTTAGAGTTTGGTGAGAAAGACAAGTACTGACAAAGGATTATGAATAATTAATAAAATAATTATGAGGGTACAAAATGCCGCGAAGGAGGGGCCTAGAGGTGGGGGCTCTGTCTTGCTTGCTCGCTCACCTTAGCTCTCTGGTGCTGGCAAATAGTGGGTGCTTGATGCCTGGCCACTGAACACACGGATATCCTGGTGTCCTAGGCCACAGACCCCCTTTCCTATACAGGTTGATGAGCAAGTGCTGAGTCTCAGTGGCAAGGAGGCCAGTGGGGGAGCATTCTGGTGACAACGGGAAGGCTCTGTTTCTGACAGCATTCCAAAGTCAAGCAGAGAAAAGCCTCGCTAATGCTAGCTCAGTCTGGTGGGATTTGTGATATGAAAGAGAAATGATTTGCTGGGCACACTAATAGTATAAACAAAGATTACAGGGGGGATATTTACGCCACTTAAGAGGACAAGCTGCTTCCAAACACGATCAAGCGCAGAGGAAACACCCATTGACATTTCTAGTAACTGATCTGCTAATTCAAATCATTCTTATCTATTGTCAAAGCAGAGCTCCTAAGGACGGCTGCTTGGCAGTTTCGTGCAATTAGTTCTAATCACGCTATGTATTTGGAAGCAATAAAACAGCAATTTCCTTAAAATCTGTAATTCAGATGCGGAGAACAAGGCATTTGAGAGCTTAGTGGTGTGGGTGCTGCATGTATTATCACATTCCATGTCCTCATTTCACATGTGCAGCAGCTGAGACTCAGATCGGAGGAGGCTCCAGGGCTACCTGGATGGTGCGGTAGGTTATTCACTGCACAAGGGCGTTGGGCTAAGGAGGTCACAGGGTAACAGGTGGCGGGGGCTTGCTGAAATCCAGCCAGCACTCTGCTTGCCAAGATGAGCCTCAGGGCTGCATGGATCCAGAAAGGCACCTTTCAATTGCATCAGCACCCTGGGTGGCTTGCCCAAGGACACCAGTCAGCTATCTCGGGCTGGGGGGGAATTGGAGACACCTCCCCAGTTTGCTTACAGCCTTTATCTCCCTCATTGCTACCCTCTTCCCAGCTGCTTCCTCTGCTTTCCATTCTTAAGTCTGGACGCCCCACTTCTTCCACTCTATCTAAATTTCTAAGGTTTTACCGAAACAGTGGTTTAGGGTCACCTGTGCTTCTTTTCCAATCCATTAGGTAGATAAATGAGAGCTGAAAGCCACTCTTTCTTGACCAGAGGGCAAATGATGAAGGTGACGGGGGTGGCTATGGTAGAGGTGTTGTGGGGAAATGAGGCCCACCCAGCCCCCAGTCCATGCAGCCAACTGAGGTGCTGAATGTAGCTGAGCGAATGGCCCTGCAGAACCACACGAAGCAGAAGTTCCACCCAGCTGGGCCTGCCAACCCACAAAATTATGAGAAATAAACATAGTCGTTGTTTGCAGTCAGTGAGCTTTGGGATGGTTTGTTTTGCAGTGATGAATGACGGAGAGAACCAGTGAATCATATGCAGTTAAAATCTCAGAAGCTCTTTTAAGAAATATGTAAATTCTATATTTTTAATTAAGTTTCATTATAATTTAATTTTTTACTTTTTAATTATTACGCTTTAAGTTCTGGAGTACACGGGCAGAACTTGCAGGTTTGTTAAATAGGTATACACGTGCCATGGTGGTTTGCTGAGCCCATGGACACGTCATCCACGTTAGGTATTTCTCCTAATGCTATCCCTCCTCTAGATGCCCCGACAGGCCCTGGTGTGTGATGTTCCCCTCCCTGTGTCCATGTGTTCTCATTGTTCAATACCCACTTATGGGTGAGAACATGCGGTGTTTGGTTTTCTGTTCTTGTGTCAGTTTGCTGAGAATGATGGTTTTCAGTTTCATCCATGTCCCTGCAAAGGACATGAACTCATTCTCTTTTATGGCTGCATAGTATTCCATGGTGTAAATGTGCCACATTTTCTTGATCCAGTCTATCATTGATGGGCATTTGGGTTGGTTCCAAGTCTTTGCTATTGTAAATAGTGCTGCGATAAACATACATGTACATGTGTCTATAATTTAATTTTAAAATAAACCAGTTATGTCATAGTTTGCAATATCATTTTTTCCTTTACAGTGGTACATAGACTAATGGCATATCGTATAGTCTGTGATGGTCTCTTAGAATTGAGGAAGCATAGGCTAGGCTCTGTCCTGGATGCCACTGCAAATGCCACTGCGTTTCACCCTATGGGTACTTTACATGGTAATATTATAATGCCCATTTACAAAGGAGAAAGGTGAAGGTCAGGAAGGCTAAGCATTGTGTCCAAGGCTACTGAGCCACGAAAAGACTGAGCTAGAGTTCAGGCAAGGACTGTGAAACGGCAAAGCCTGGCTGATGCAGCCAGGAGGAATTTTCTTAGATGTGGCTGCCAGGGAGCAGCTGTTTCCTGAGTCAGCACTGTGGTCAGAGACCAGAGGTTTCTGGGACCCAGCTCTCCCTGGCTGCTATGACTCAGGATGCTTGCCTGGTGCTTTGTGGGAGAAGAGGGTCAGGTAGGCGGTATCAGACACACTCACCGTACACCTTGAGCTGGAGGGTCTGGGTCCAGGTCTGACCCCTTGTGTCCACCATCAACACGGAGAAGTTGCCACTGTCTGCAGACTCCAGCGGCCCGAGCTCCAGGCTGAGGTTGCTGTGTAGCTGGGCTCGGCCCAGGAAGCGGGAATGGTACAGAGTCTCTAGGGAACCTCGGAAAAACGTGGCCAGGAGCTCCTCCGAAGGCCAGAGAGATCGCCAGAGAGCCTCACGGACTTGGAAGCCAGGGGGACGCACTGCCACCAGCAGCACAGAGTCCCCAACCTTGCTTAGTACTTGGGCACCAGTAACTGTAATGGGAAGTAGGGCTGAAAGAACAGAGCCCCTGGTCACTCTGCCTGCCCCATGCTCCTCACCCTTCTCTTGCATGCATCTGAGCTGCTATGGGGTGAATTGGGGCCCTTCCACCCACACTCCGTCCACTCAAGTTGAAGGTGCACTGTGCCAGGCACCAGGGATCAAACACATGGAAGATAATCCAGTCTCTGCCTTCATGGAGCTTACAGAGAAAGCCAGACATTCACGAAAGCAATTAAATATCATGAAGGGAAAAATGGGATGTCCTGGGAGAACACAGGTAGGGTGATGGGACCTCACCCAGCCTGGATGGGCTCAGAAAACAAATGGTTAAGCTGAGCCTTGAAGAAGAATGGTGATTAGCCAGGCCAAGCTGAGGGCAGCCTGGAGCAGGATAGGGAAGTGACTCTGGCAGAGGGCTCAGGATGGACAAAGACCTGGAGGAGGAGAGTTGGTGCCCTGGGGAACTGAGAGTAGTTCTCTGTGGGAGGAGTAGGAAATTACACTGCAGAGTTGGTGGGAGTCAGATCACGCAGTGCCCTGAAAGCAACACTGGAGTTTGGGCTTTATCTGCAGAGCAATGGGGGGTCTCAGGTAGGTTTTAAGCAGGAGAGTAACAGGATTAGATACTTGGTTAGAAAGATCATTCCAGCAGAGATGTGGAGAAGGCACTGGAGGTGGGCAGGACTGAGGCTGTTGGTATGAGTCCAACGGAGAAGTGATGGCAACTTGAATTGAGGAAAGGAGCAACCAGGATGGGGAGAAGTGGGAGGAATTGGGAGACGTGAAGATGGTACAATCAGCAGGATTTGGTAATAGATCAGTTCTGGGGAGTGAAGGAGAAAAAGGAGTTGAGGATGGCTCCCAGGTCCTTGGGATCCACTGGATGTTACTCTCTGTGATCCAGAACAGGAGGAGAAACAGACAGGGTGTGAGATGGCAAGATGCTGTTTTTGGGGACTGTATCTGAGGCAGAGGTGTATGGGAGACACTTCTGCTTGAAGTGCCCCCTGACTCCTTTGCTGACTAATTTCTGGTCACTCTTGTACCACGCTGCCTCCTCCAGCCTCCCCCATCCCTCTCCGCAGGCTACATATTCTCTCTTGTGTTCTCACAGTGGCCTGGGGTCACCATGGTGACTATCCTTATCCCTCTATTTTTATAGAGTTTATGAGTCAGCCTTTCCCACTAGACCGTGAGCTCTTTCTCTCCATCGAGCTTCCACTGCCCACTACTGTTCCTAAAGGAACAGGCTATGGGAGAAGCCTAGTAAATGGTACTGAGTGAATGACCTGCTCTGCTGAGGACTGACCCTCTGCCTGACACTGGCACGCGGTGTAGGGGGGGTAAGAGGTGATGAAGGTGTGGGCAATGTGATGTGTTCTGGATGGTTGCTCAGTTGGCCACGATAATTCCAGTTCCTCCTTTTTAATGCAGAGTAGGAACGTAAAACACAAAGAGAATTGCACTGGATGTCAACCAAGACCTAGCTTCTACCTGCTCCTGGTGCTGCCACAGATCAGCTGTGTGGCCTTCGGCACATCACCTCCCCTCCCTAGGCTTCGGTACCACTGAAAAATGAGAGGTCTGTATCAGGTCAGGCACACAGATCTTTTATCATTAAGGGCCATTGGAAAATTATTTTGGGGCTGGGTACGGTGGCTCATGTCTGTAATCCCAGCACTTTGGGAGGCTGAGGCGGGTGGACCACTTGAGGGCAGAAGTTTGAGACCAGCCTGGTCAACATGGTGAAACCTGATGGCTACTAAAAATACAAAAATTAGCCAGGCGTGGTGGCGGACACCTGTAATTCCAGCTACTTGGGAGGCTAAGACAGGAGAATTGCTTGAACCTGGGAGGCAGAGGCTACAGTAAGCCGAGATGGCACCACTGCATTCCAGCCTAGGCGATAGAGTGAGACTCCATCTCCAAAAAAAAAAAAGACAAATTATTTTTGTCTCACATGTCCGATGATTTGAAAGATTTTGTGAGCCAAACAGACTGAGGCCTTTTTTGAAGTTAAGATGTGATTTCCTGCACGTTTAGAAATGCTGAAGAAATCTGCAGGCTTTGGAGTTCTCAGGGCCAGGAACCCAGGCAGGGAGACACGGCAAAGCAACCCAAAGGCCCTGTGAGTCTCCTGATGTAACGAATGACATCTTAACCTTTGCCGCACCCACAAACCTCACCCCTGGCCTGGCAGTGCTCACCCATGTCATGTTGTCTCCTTGCCGATGAAGAAAGGGAACTCAGGCATCAGACAGACAGAGGGATCACTCAGTATGGAGGAAACCCCTCATGACAGCCACCCCAACATCACGTCACCCCCAAGTCCACGTGGGCTGTATTTAGCCTTCTCCCATCTGTCATCCCTACTTAGCACTGGTCTCCCCTTATAAAGGCCTGCAGGGAGGGACTTCAGCTCCCCCACGGGCTGCTGAAAACGCACTCTGCTGATTGTGGGAACCCTGCTCTGCCCTGCCCTCTGCTTCTCTCCCCAGACTCTGTTGAGTTCCCTCGTGCTAACACTGCCAGGTCCTCAGCATTGGACTTTCTCTCCAAGCAGGCAGTATCCCCTGCTGGCTCATTTTTACTGCTCTGGGCCGCAAAACAGCTCATGTCTCACAGACAAGAATGCTCCTCAAGCTGTCACCTCCTCCCTCCCAGGACCCTGCATCTCTTTGTATCTGACTAGCTTAAAATGTTGCCCAAGAGCTTGTTCCAGTCTTCCCTACCCACCCTCAGCTTGTGGATTCTTGCTCGGGCTGAGGGCATCCTGCCCACTGGTGAAGGCAGCTGGGGAGGCGCCTTCAGCTCTCCGATGACAGGCCATCTGCCTGTCCCACTTACCTTCCCAGAGAAGCAGGCTCCACAGGGGCCACATGGCCGTCCTTCTCCGGAGAGGCAGGCAAACTCCCTCGACAACCCAAATCCAGAACCTCCCAGGCTGAGTGGATGCACAGGAGGAGCTGTGGTCCTTCTGGAAAGTCCCATGTTCAGAAGGAGGAATCTTGACTCAGAACGAGATGCCCCAAAAGTGAAAACATCCAGAATAAAGTGGAAGTTGGCCCTGGGCTTAGCTGGACTTTCAGGAGTGGATTCTTGTAAGTCAGCCTCTTTCACATGGTGTGGTTGGCTAGCACATGGCGACAGTAGCCCCCACACAAGCCACATCCTCCTTGCCTTGAGGCAGGCTGGGATGCAGTCTCGCTGACCTTCCTGCATCCCAGCCTGCCTCACTGCTACCTGTCCTCCTCATTCTAGCTTAAAATTCTTCTGTGGCCTCCCATGGCCCTCAGGATGAGGACTAATGCTCTGCTCTGCAGGCAGGTCCTCCTGAGTCAGGCCTTGTTTCCCAGGCTGGTTGCCCACATCCATTCTGCTCTCCAGCCATCCCAAGCCAGAAGGCCCTCTTCTCAGAGCTACTGATTTCACATTTCCCTGTGTTGTGCTTCTCCCCCACCAGGCAGGCTGTCCCTTTATCCTTGCAAATAGCACGGCTGTGTGACCAGCGAGGATGTCCTTCCAAGCTTCCAGATCACAGGCAGGTGACAGGCCCCCTCCTTGTGCCCTGCACATGCCCACACCTCCCTCTTTACTCTTGGTGTGTCGTTTGTGGCAGTTTTCTGATCTTCACAGACTGTGTAGCCAGCGTGGTCTTTTATTCCTTTCTGTGTTTCCCTCAGTGCTGGGCACATCACGGATGTTTCATGAGTATTTGTTAAGTGAGGGAGAACATTCTAGACATGGCTACACATTTGGCTTTAGGTAAGCCTTACAACTCTCCTCTGAGAGGATCATCTTGTCACCCCTTTAGAAATGGGAAAATGGGAAAACCAGGGTGAGGTCAGGTTCCTTGTTGAGGTCACAGAGGGGCAGAGCTGGAGCTTGACCTTCGACCTTTGAAGTATCATCTATTGTGCCACAGTCACCTCCTCTTCATCCTGTTTCTCTTCTCACTTCAAGTTTCTTGATTTCTTGTTGGGGAAGGTTTTTAGAGGATGTGTTGCCCTGGAGGAAGGTTCCTGCTAGTCTGGAGGGTGGCTCACTCTATCTGGTCCTGCGCAGCCCCTCACCTGTCAATCAAACTGGACACCGAGCTTTGGACTCAGCCAGGAATTAGGCATTAGGATTTAGCCTGCTCCCGTCTCTCAACCTTACTTAGTATTTGCCTCCTGTCATAAAGGCCTGCAGGGAGGGACCGCAATTCCCCAACGAGCTGCTGAAAACGCCCTCTGCTGATGGTAGGGAACCCTGCCCTGCCCTGCCCTCTGCCTCTCTCCCCAGACTCTGTTGAGTTCCTGCACGCTAACACTGCCAGGTCCTCAGCATTGGACTTTCTCCCCAAACCAGCAGTATCCGCTGCTGCCTCATTTTTACTGCCCTGGGCCACAAAACAGCTCATGTCTCACAGGCAAGAATACCCCTCAACCTGCCGCAGTGGGAGAATTTTTTGGGTATGGCTTTTGCCCGCCAGGTACTCACAACCAAAATGTAGAGATAGGTACATCAGAGAAAGTGAAGGCTTATCTGCAGACGGACACCACTTTGTGCAAACAGGTAGTCAGCCCTCAGAAGTGGGTGGGAAGGAGGGCTTCGCGGGTATGGGCAGGGGATGCTTCCTGAGAAGGTGGAATTTGAGCTGGGTCTTGAAGATGGGCATGGTTTAGATAGCATGAGGAAAAGAGAGGGCCAGAGGCTGGGGGTGGGCTCTGGGCAGGAGGGGAGAGCAGAGTGTGCAGGGATGTGGCCATGGGAAAATACCAACGAGGCTCCACAGAGGACGACGGACAGCAGGCAGGAGTCCTTAAGGGCTGGGTGGGAAGAATGGAAAAGGAGGTTGGGGGCAGATTGTGGAGGCCTTGAAAACTGGGTTAAGTTATTCTGGACACTAGTGACTCTCAACCTCGTTTAGCACTTGGATTCTCAGAGATGCCATCAGGGTGAGCTGGGGCCCAGGAATCTGTGGTTATAACAAGCACCCCACTCAGGGTAAGTCTGTGGCTGGTGGACTGGGGGAATGCTCCGGAAGCACTGTTTGAAGGGCGGGGCTGTTGCAGGTTTTAAGTGGGGGTGGGAGGACAGCAGGCAGGGCAGGTTGGGAGAGAGCAAAAAGGCAGGGGAAGCTGTCGTCTGTTTTGATGGGCCTGTGGGAGGGAGAAGGGCCTGCAGGTGAAGGAAATGTCGAGTACCGAGAAAGGGGCAGAACTGGGGAGCTGTCTGGCTGAGGGGTGGAGAGGGCAAGGGAGGGAACTCATTTATGACTCCGTTGCCAATTCCGTCATTCATTCATCAGGCATTTATTGAGCATCTACTTAGGTGCCAGGAACTAGCGACACAGAGATGAAAGGCTTTGCCCCTGACCTTAAGGAGTTCACAGAAGATGGGATATATAAACCAATAATTACAACCAGTGTGGCAAGACCAATGTCAGATGTGTGCCCGGGATGCTGTGAGAGCCAGAGGACAGATTTGACCCTGCCAGTGCAGGTGGGAGGCTGGGGGGGGAGGGCTCCGTAGAGGGGTTGGTACTTGAGGTGAGACTTAAGAATACAACAGATGAGGATAGGCGTTCAGAACTCAAGCATGATTCAGACTTGAGTTCAAATCTCGGCTGTGAAACCTTGAGCAAAGTCACTTCCCTGTGCTTCAGTATCCTCATCTGTGAAATGGGAATCAATGATAGTATCTACCTCTCAGTGTTGCCAATGAACACGTGTGAAGGTTTAAATTGGGGTTGGGTGAGGTTAGCACTCAAATACTAACTATTGCTACTAAATGGCCAGGGAGAGAGAAGCAGGGAAACCTGAGTAAATGCAGATAAAGGCATGTTTCAGGCTGGGCAATACCGTGTTCTGACTTTCTCCTCCCAGACAGGGAGTTCCATGAGGGCATCTCCTTCTCTTGCACCCTGAATATTGCCAAGGATGGGCTTTCGATGAGGCAAAGCCCTGTATGCATCTGTTGGATTGGATTGAATGATTCTAAAATGTCAAAGCTTAGGACTGGGAGGGCTGTGGGATGCAGGCATGGGGTCAGCATGGAGCCAGATCCTGAATTCCTTTGTAGAAGACAGTGGGCAGTTACATCCCACTAACGAGAGTTGGTCACCCATAGTGGTCCATCCAGGCAAGGAATGACTCGCCCACCCGAAGACCTTTTCCTTGAGGGGAGTTTTGAGGAAGCTGGGAAAGAGGGTGGGAGGAGGTTGAGTGAAGACTGAAAAATATCCCACCTCCGGCTGGGCACGGTGGCTCACGCCTGTAATCCCAGCACTTTGGGAGGCAGAGGCGGGTGGATCACGAGGTCAAGAGATGGAGACCATCCTGGCCAATATGGTGAAACCCCGTCTCTACTAAAAATACAAAAATTAGTTGGGTGAGGTGGTGCACGCCTGTAGTCCCAGCTACTCGAGAGGCTGAGGCAAGAGAATTGCTCGAACCAGGAGGTGGAGGTTGCAGTGAGCCGAGATCGAGCCACTGCACTCGAGCCTGGCGCCTGGTGACAGAGTGAGACTCTGTCTCAAAAAAAAAAAAACAAAAAAAACCCACCTCCCCAAAGGGAAAAACTTGCTGCCCATGTGACCACTGGAGAACCACTGGACTAAGAAGGCAGCGATTCTTCCCAGGTGCAGGGAAGGGTTAAGTCTGCGGCAGGCAGGTTCTCTCTACTTGCTAATCACTGGTTCACACCATATTAATTACCCAGCCACAGGGGGGAGTGCACAGGAGCAAATTAGCTGGTGAGTTCAAAGGGGCCACTTCCCACATTCCTTAATTAAGACAGCAGCTGGCGGCTCCCTGGGGCCTTTCGCCTGCATCTGCTGCATTGGTGGCTGAGGCAGGCATAGCAGCTCCATCAGCCATGTGGAACAGCCTGCAGCTGCCATTAGCCCACCTTAATTCGGGCTGGGGGTGAGGGAGCTGGTGTTGACCACCGCCACTCAGGCTGCCGAACTTGAGCATTAACCCCTAGCCACTTGGCGTGGAGATCCAGGGCGGGGTGAAATTTGGGTGAAGCTTTGTGCCTGGGGGGCAGAATGGGGCTACACTTCTCTCAGGGGGAGAGATGGAGAAGGGGAAGAAAGGTGGGGTGGCTGAGGAGCTGGGAGAGAAGGGGAGCCAGGCAGGAAAGGAGGCAGAGGCAAAGCAGCTGGCAGGAAGGAGGGGGCGCTGCACTCAGCAGGCTTTTTGGGAGGCAAAGAGGAAGGGTGTTGCTGGGGTGTGGGTAGGCCTCTGGGCACTGCTTCCAGGGGGTGGTGTGGGATGGGGACTGAAAGGGGAAGGTAGGACCTCTCCTAACCCCTGCCTTTGTGTCTGTTTTCATTTAATCTGTCAGCAGGCACCATGCCACCAGGAGCCACAGCCCAAGAGGCTGCCTGGGGCAGGGGAGCCTGTGCGCACCCCTCCCCGGCTAGCCAGCTTAGGTACAGTGCCATGATGTTGCAGGAAGACTGGCCTAGAGGGAGAAGACCCTGCAAGGAGCCTGCCTCTGTCACTTCTTAGAAACGCCCACTGTTGCTGAGCCTCTGCAGATGGAAAATGATTGCGAAATGGCCTTACCTCCCGTGAGATGGCGCTGGCACCGCTGCGAGCCTGAGTGCCTCGTTTACTTTTGTGCCTGAGGTGCCTCTCTTGTCTCACTCTGGTCCTGGCCCTGCTGGGGAGAAGTAGAGGGAGTGGGGTCTTCGATGAACTAGAGGCATGGTGCACAGCGGGAGAAACTGAGGCGAGAGGACAGAGGAGGAAGTGAGTGGGATGGAACAGCCTGCAGGAGACTGGATGGAAACTGACTTAGGTGGGCCTGCTTTTGAGGCAAAGACACACCATCCCAGAGATTTGAAGATTTATGTTTCTGCATAAAACAGAAACAAAGCCACACTGTGCTTTCCTGAGGTAGAGAAGGGGGAACTGGAAGCTCACGCAAGCATTCATTCACTCATTGAACACCTGGATTGCTGTCTTGTGCACATGAATGCATCCAACAAACAGTTACAAGGCATCGAGCATGTGTAAGCCTTACGGGGTCAAGAACTCAAGCTGATGTTGCCAGTAGTCATGATACTCCCAATGAAAGGTTCAGTCCCAATACTCATCTGTGCCTCAAGTGGGAAGGAATTCCGGAACGAGTACAACATG